CCATTGCCTCTCATTGTCTTGCGAATCTTATTAGCATCATCCCATCGTTCAGAACTTGCATAAAGATTAGATAACAAAGCAAGTGTACCAATGGCAACATCTTTGTTATTGAGGTGTCCTCTAATCCATTCTGACATCTTTTCATTACCATGATTTTTGCAGGCTTGAAGAAGAGCTCCCCAAATAGGGCCTTCAGCTTCAATGGGCATGCCTCTAAGGAAAGCCTTTGCTTCCTCAAACAAACCAGCTCGTCCATACATGTCTACCATGCAACCGTAATGTCTCATTTGTGGCACAATGCCATAAGTATCTCTCATGGCTTTGAAGAACATAATCCCTTCATTTACTAGTCCTTCATGGCTGCACGCAGACAATAGGCCAATAAAGGTCACATCATCTGGTGGAACCCCATGAATCAACATTTGTGAAAAGAGTTGCACTGCTTGCTTACCATGGCCATTCATAGCCAGGCCACAAATAACAGTACCCCAAGAGATAACATCCTTATGCATAAGCATATTAAAAATCTTAATCCCCATTTGCATATCTCCACACTTGACATACATGTTAAGCAAGGCATTCCCAATATTGCCATCAATCATGAGGTCACATCTTTTGTCAATGTAGGAGTGCACCCATTGTCCCAAACTCAAAGAACCCATAGATGCACATGCTGACAGCACAGTTACAACGGTCGCCTCATTAGGCTTAACTTCTTCCCCTTCAAGCACCATTCTTTTAAACACGGAAACAGCCTCTTCACAGTGTCCTCCTTGGGCATAAGCCATGACCAAAGTTGTCCAAGAAATAACATCCCTTTTAGGCATTTTCACAAACAGTTTCTGTGCATTCACCAAAGACCCACACTTTGCATACAAATCCAGAAGTGCATTATCAAAAATAACATTCCCATAAATAATCATTCTCTTCAACCCATACCCATGAATGGCCTTGCCAAATTTGAAAGCTTTAAGACCAGAACAAGCAGACAACACACTAACAAGAGTAACCACATTGGGCTCTACATCCATCAATGAAAATCTCTGAATTGCTTCAGCTTCAAAGCCACATTTTGACAAGCCAGAAATGATTGAAGTCCATGAAACAACATCAGGTGAAGAAATGGATTGAAAAACACGAGAAGCAGAAACGACGTCGTAATGGAGAAGGTAGAAGTGAATGAGGGAGTTATGAATAAAGAGATCAGAATAGTGACCAGATTTGATGAGATGGGCATGGATTTCGAGGGCTTTGGAGGGCGCGTGGAGGAAAGAGCATGCTTTGAGAGCGTTGGTGAAGGTGTAGTGATTGTGATAGGAATGGTGAGAGAGCATGAGATTGTAGAGAAAGAAAGCACCTTGAGGAGTGGGTGAGTTTGATAGAAAGGGTATGAGTGGGTTTAAGAATTGGGGGTTAGGGTTTCTGATGAATTGAGCTCGTATGATATTCAAAATCATGGATGCTGGTGATACCAAATTCAGAACACTAAACCCAAAACAATATATATATGATTAGTAATAATTACTCCATACACTAACTTTTTTGAGATAGGTTTAACTTTAACCCACCCTATCCCTATGTAATGTAATACTAATATGTAAGTGTAAGGATATGTAATTGTAGGTTGCAACATCCATCCATTCCATTTCAGATTATAAATAATATTTAAGAGTTAATATTTCTGCTTTTATCGATTTAGGAAGGTTACTCACATGTCATATAAATGGGTAATCTTGTGGAACTAATATCATCGACAACACGATGTGTTTTTATAAGGAAAATTATGTTCTGGTTTGGAAATAAAACCGGTACATGTACATAGAAACAACAATTTAAGGCATAAAGAGTGGTTATCATTAGAGAAGGCAAAACGAACTGTTCAGTCTGTGCCTGCAAATGCTCACACAAACTTTAATTATGACTGTTCTAAACTCACACAAACTTATTAAAGCAAAAATAACATGTTGCTGCCCAGGATCGAACTGGGGACCTGCAGTGTGTAAGACTGACGTGATAACCACTACACCACAGCAACTACATGTTTATGCCTTAATGAACTGACGTGATAACCAGTACACCACAGCAACTACTTGTTTAAACTAATTAACTGTCTAAATAATTTGCCTAAAAAATATTATTTTTCAATTCTGACTGTTTGAACTTTTTCGACTTATAATCACGTTGGTTGCTTTAATATATTATTTTACAAGGAAAAGAAATTTATTGAAAGAGTTACAGATTACAAGATGATAAATTACCCCACCAAACATTTGATCAAAAAGTGAGAGTTAAGGATTGCCTTCTACGATGTTAGAGAATTATGAATTATTCATGCAATTGTGAATTTTGTATACAAAACATTTTATTTTTCTTTATTAATCAATGAAAGTAAACTAGTATTGGAGAAATTCGTTAAACTAAAATTAATTAATATTACATTGCCCAAAAAAAGTAATTAACATTAAATGAATGGACGAACCAAGCTTGTAATTTTGCCTTGCCTTTTATTCTTACATTTGAATTATGAAGGAATATGAGTAAAACAATTAAACAACACAAGCACACAAGAAGAGGAAGCAGCTTGCATATCTCCAATAATAACACATAGCCATGCTAAGTCAAGCCATAATCATATATCCAATTATTCATAAAACACAAGACATGACTTACAAAGTCTTAATAATACATATAATAGTAAACATGACCAAAAATTCCATTTACACAACAAAACATTCACAGTACATGGCTATAACTCCACATACTGGTAACAAATAATCACCTTTATGCTTTTAAGACTTGAAACCAAAGTCCCCAAACAACTGAACACAACAAATAAACCAAGGAAACTGAAACAGAGTATTTGACATCACAGATCATATCATGCGCTAGCAAACACATTGACAATCTTCTCAGTAGGGACCAATGGCAGATAAGCAGAAACCCTGTAACCTTTCTCTGCTGACAAAGCAACTGTCTCGTTATACTTCTCAGTGCAATAAGCCGCCTTCGGCAACACCACATCAGCCACCTTAGGGAACAATGGCAGATGTTTCAGCATCCTCCATGCTGACACGGCAGCTTGCTCAGCCTTTGGCTCACACTTATCATAAACTGTCTTTGCCAGACCAGAAGCAACATCCACCACACCAGCGCGACGGACCTCAGAGACAACATAACGAGCCTGGGAAGAGGCCTTCTTGACATTGGTGGGGACATGGCGATCGATTTCAGCAACAGACTCATCGACCTTGCGATCCGCGTATTTGAGGAGCTCTACAGGGACAAGGTGGAATTTGTCATAGACAGGAGCAACAACTGTTTTCACAGCTTCCTCAACTGACTCCACGCCAGATTTGAGTGGACCGGATCGTTCCTTGGCGTAGGTGTAGACAATGGCAGCGTGCATCAGAGCTTGGATCGTGGCCAATTGCACAAACTCAAGATACTTGAGTTGTTGCTGTTGTTGTTGTTGCTCTTCATTCTGCTCAACCTTTCAAATTGGATCCAATTAAGTCAAATTAAAAAGGTATTTGAAAGTTGAAACCCCTAAACCTTTGTTCAATTCAATCAAATCATTCAATTCAATTAAAAACTAGACATCCTAAAATACTTGACTCAATCAAATTAAATTTCAAAAAATATTTAATTTGAATCATATTCATTAAAATCAAATCAAATTAGACAATATTTAAAACCATAAGACCTTCAATTAAATGAGAAAGGAACATACCAATTGTTGAGTAGCGGGTACTTCGGAAGCCATGATGGAAATGAAGGAGGTGAGGTTTTAGGTTTTGGTGTAAATTGAGAAGTGTGTGGTGAATATGAAGATATTTATAGAGGGTGAGGTGGGAAATGACGGGTTCCCCTAACAAAACGGTTATCAAACGTGTATTGGTGGTAATGACGGTATTCCTATTTGCGTGTGTATCAGTGCCTTGTTTTGGTAAACAAATGTCTGTGTAGTCCTTCATGTTGACTACTTTCTTTCTTCCACCCTAAGTTTCTAAAATCTTCACTATTTTCTTTCTTCCACCCTAAGTTTCCTATATGACATGACATGACATGTTTTCCATTGTGTCTCATTTTATGTCCCAAACTAATCGCATATTATCGAATTTTCTAAAAAATAAAAAATGTTAACAAGTTTCTAAACACCATCTTATTTCAATGGTAAAACCAAAACTGAGTTTTCACCACAAAACTAAACAGTTCACATTCCAAAAATTGAGAATGTGGTTTTGTTAGGATAATGGTTTACTTGAGGATTGCCTTAAAATAAGTATACTATATTATTACTTCTTTATTGTTGAGATGTTTATATTTCTTCACGGTGGATCTATTTTATTAAATTCATTTCCAGCAGAATTGAATATCAATTGTTTTGAATTTTGTCTTTATCAATTGGGATATTTATAAAATCATGTAAAATAAGGACACAAATGATATTTTAAAACTCTAACCTGTCTTTGTCCACTTCATTAGGGTATCAATTTAATTGGTCACTCGTTGGATTAGTTTGTTATTAGTCTTTGATTCATCAAATTAGTTTATGTTAAAAAAATCATAATATTAAGTAATATTATTAAATATTTTTAAACTTCAAATTGAAAAACATTATCATTATAAAAATAATTGATTAAACAACTAACAGAGAATGTTTTACTACAATAAAATAGTATAGATAAGTTAAAAGTATAATAAAACAACATCATTTCTTTTATGTTTTAGTTGTAACAAAACACATAAAATAGTTTAAAACTTAATTAAAGTTTTGTTCCAACATAATTTATCAAATAAGAAACATAACTATAATAATAATGATAAACATAAGCACACATATGTTGAAAACATCATAATTTTTCCCATTTGAATGAATTTGTCGAGTTACCATTTTTATACTTAAATCGTTCTAAGATGTTTCATACTAACATGTTCTTCTGTTAGGTGCCCATTTTTATACTTATCCTTATTAGATCCAACTCAGAAGAAAAATAAAACTACTTAATGTTGCTGCCCAGGATCGAACTGGGGACCTTTAGTGTGTAAGACTAACGTGATAACCACTACACCACAGCAACTTGATGTGAGTAAATACAACTAAGTAATTCCTCATACCCGCATTCGAATGTTTATGGAGGTAGATACTGTAACAACTTGCTTAAGGTTGATGTTGAAAGTCTTTGATTCTATAATGGAATGATCCTTTATTGGTCTTAGGTTACTTGAATGCATTTTTCTTGTTCATCTAATATTTTGGATATACTAAATGCATTTCTCTTGGTTCAATTGCCAACAATGTACCTCTCAGAACTTTACCTGAGAATCCAACAACAAAATTTAATGACTTGAAGGACTTTGCAAAGTCTTTAATGGACGGGTTGCATTCAGCTTCCAGTGTAAAACTAAGGTAAAAATATTTGGAAAATGTTTTATGGACAACATTAGTTAACAACAATGGCTTTCAACATCAATCAAAGTTTTTGTTGACATATATATGCAGGTGAAACGAAGTCCATGAATGTTTCAATATGAAGAAATTGATATGTAAACCAGTCTGATAGGTACAGTTCCATGTTGTTTGTACGATATTTTTCAGTTTTGATTAGTATTCTCTAATTTTAACTGGTTTAATTACATGTTCGTTATCATACTTAAGGACTGGCTCACCAATTTTCCTGTTGAACATGCCGATACTGTATTTATAATGAATGAACGAGACATGAAAAACAATATAGTTTCACAACTGCTAGCTAATCAACAAATGACTTGCTATTTAGGTAAAAATAAAAATTACAATACATTCTTCTGTTACTTATAAAATTGTCAAAAGTCAGGTTCATAAAGAAAATCCATAAAATGGAGACATCAATCACAAAGGATTAAAAAAATCAAATGATGATGTGAATGAAAGGGGGCATCTCTATTCAGCTTTCTTAGTAGGTTTTCTCTTCATTCTGCTGAAGGGTCCAACTGTTCTATCCATAATATACATGTAAATGACCTGGCTCCAAGATCTATAGGATGCTAAACCATCATAATACTCTGGAGCAATCTCCTTCACCTTGTAAAGCTTATTCCCAGGAATTCTAGGAAAATCATGGTGTTCATTATGGTAACCCACATGCCATGTGAGAAGATTGAAAGGTCCATAGTAAGAATATGTCTCCTGCCCTGGAGTGAAGACATAATGCTCTGAGATGAAGTGACCAGCCATCGGATGCATACCGCCACCAACGAATGTGGAAAGTATCAGATAGGCAAATGATTTCCATCCCCAAAAGTAAACCATTGCAGCATCAAGAGCAATCTGAACAAAGAAGTTGGTGAATTCCCACCAACCAGGAGGCTTTGGTTTAAGGAACAAAGGTCTTAGAGCATAAAAGAAGAGTTGTAAGAGGACCCATATGGCTTTTGCCACAACATTAGTCACAAGATGTGCTTCGGTGAGGCTAGGGATATCCATATCAATGCCGTCCACGCCTTGGAACCGGTGATGTTCTAAATGATACTTCTGGAAAGTTACAGACATGGGTACACCTATAGGGAGGTTAGCAAAAATCCCTAGCCATCGGTTGTAGACCGGAGTTGAGAATGCAAGATTGTGACTAAGCTCATGGATAGCCAAGAAGAGATTGTGGTTGAGAAATGAGCCAAAAAAGTATGCTACTAGAAGCATCTTCAGCCAGCCAGCATCTCGAAGCAAAATAGCAGTACCAAGCTGAAGCAAAACAACTACAGAAATCTGCAGAACAAAATTTTAAACACATTAACACACCTAGGAATTACAGATCCGTCCATATAAAATACATGTTAAATCTCTATCCTAAATTCATAATATTATGCAAAAATCACACTGAAGAATGAAACCAAAAATGTATACATACCATCAAGTAAGCCAGTGTTAACATTACTTTTATTAACTAAGTATACCAGAATGAAAAGGCGCTACTTTAACAGAAACAAGATTTGAAAGGTACCTTCCAATATGAATATCACAGTAGAAAGATTTATGCAACTGCAATTTTCTAGAGAGATCTATTTATTACCTATGGCTCAGTTTCAAAAAGTGCAATGCACACAAAGCAATGAATGAAATTAATTGATAAATAAACGTAAAAATACAAAGAAAAACGAAAAGAAATTGCAATAGATCTAACCATGATAATGAGAATGAAGGATTTGAATAATAAAACCTAGAAGGCATACATTATTTAAAAAAAGGGGGAGAAATGAAATTGAACGTTAACCTTGAAGAAAGCAGAGTAGTCAGGACCGAAGAGGTTCTTGATTTGAGGGTACTTAGAGAGGATCTGACGACGTCGTGAAGCATGAGGTTCATCTGTATATGACCAGAAGAAATCTCCTGCCATCACTCCTTCTCTTCCATCTTCTCTACTTACCCCCATTCTCTCTCTCTCTCTCACTCACAACATGTGATTATTATTATTATATATTTCATTGCAACCAACCAACCAACTTATATTCTATTTGTTTTCACCCTATTCAGAGATTCAAATAATATTTCATTGGTCACTATTTCTTTTCTAATTCTTGGGCCCCCCGTCATTACAGCCTGTCTTTTACACCCCTCACTCATATCTCTCCATTCTTAGGATTCATAACCTTCCTTTTTCCTATTTTATTTGCTATTACTCATTATAGTTAGATGTGTCAAAATGGGCGGGCTCGTGCGGGTCGATTTGCTACAACCCGAAATTTTGTAGGGTTTGGGTATTAAATTTGGCACTTTTTAGTGAATTTGGGCTTACCGGGCGGGTTCGGGCTACCCGTTTTCTCTTATTTTAAAACTTTTTTTGGGACTTTTTGGCTAGGTAATAAGCTTAAGATGAAAATTATTTTACAAAATAACTTATGATAAAAAAATAGATAATATATACTAAATATTGTGTAATGAACTTTGAATAAAAAATAGAGTAATGTATATAACATAAATATTTATAAATTACAATAATGTTATCAAGTTAATAATTATATTATTTTTCCTATTTTGCTTAATATCATTTTAATCACATTAGCAAAATAGTGTATCAAATTAACTGAGAACATTAAACCATATAGATTCTATTTTTATTTTTTTAATTGTATATTTAATTAGATTTAACTTCTACAGCAAAAACATAATAAAGAAAATAATTTTTACAACGAAACTGAAAAACAACTTAATTGTTTACCGTAAAGAACTCAACACAACCAAATTTAACATAACAGTTCACAATGAAAGTGTTGATAAAGAGCATACAAAAAATATTCATACACAAAGTAAATAAATATTATGATGATAGTTATACTTCGACAAATAGAATTCATTTTGAATTTGAGTCTATACTATCATTACTATAAACCAAAGTGATATTATTTTTTACTGTATCCATTTATTATATTGAAGTGAAGTTACAAATTATATTGTGTTAGAGATTGAGAGTCTAATATAAATAATTTTTTTAATGAATAAGTTATATTATGAATCATATCTGTAGACTTAACATCATGTCTTAGCTCAAACACATAGCATTATATCTATAAGTTTGGTTGCATTCAGTATAACAATTGTGTTAAAAAATTTATGCATTAATATCAAATGATGTATATATATATTAAATATGTTAAAATTTAAATAATTTTTTTTAATATTATGTGGGCCGGCCCGCCACAACCCGCAACCCGCATAGGGCGGGTTTTGGCTACATTTTGATATACATAAATTGTATCCGGACTTTTTAGTCCGACCCGTTCGGGTAGCCCGTTTTGACACCTCTAATTATAGTGATATGGAAACTAAACACTACAACCAATCACAATCATTGCATTATAGAGAAAATAGTTGAGAATTGTCAGACTCAAAATATAAATAAATAAAGGATCAAACGTAGTGGAAAATAATATATATTCTTAATTTATAGAAAAATAAATCAGTTATAAAATATTATTATTATAATAAAAGTTTCATTATATATTCTAACATTCTTTCTAACTAAAAAAGTTTAGACCCAAAATTGTCTTAAAAAAGGCCAAACATTAAACTTTCTTATAACCATTTTTGTTTTTGTTTATTTTTATTATTTTGGGTGACTAACTTGCGAACTACAAGTTAATTCGCTTCCAAATGAACTAAGTAATAGTTCACAAATTAGCAAACTAAGTTACCACCAGTTCACAATAAAAGTGTTCACAAACTAAATAATTTAGTCTCCAAAGATCACAATATCATCAACTTTCTACTCCAAAGAAATTTGACTAGTTCTTCAAATGTTACAATTGCCTTCAAGATAATCTTGAAGATAAATTTATCACCGTACAAACATTCAAATATTATATTTACCACCAAGTTAATCTTTCATATAAATTTTCACTATATTAGTCTTTCAAAGATTAATATTTTGTTATCAACTTAGTTATATATATATATATATAAATTTATCATTGTACTAAAACCTCAAATGTTAATTTATCACCATATTAGTTTCTTAAAGATTAAATGATGACGCAAAATCAAACACTAATGAATGTGCATAGACTCTATTATAAATATATGGTGAAATTTATAAAGTATCATTAATTTTTTAACATTCCTTTCAATCTTATTCAAATGTCAAAATCTCCACCTTCCTTCTCATGGGAAATGAGACATAACATATAACATATAAACAAGATTATTCTCTCACATCAATAATAAACTAATTCCTTTCCGGGGTATGATTACTCCTCCCAACATTTATCGTTCATGATAATCAAATAATTGACATTTTATCTTAATTGAAATCTAATGGAACCTTACGTCATTAGATCAACGATATTTATTCCTTAATAATTATTTAATGTGCAAATAATATATGTATAATAACATTCTAAAAGAGAAACTAATTTGATGACAAATTTAATATTTAAAAGACTAATAAATGGTAACAAATTGTATTGAAAGAATAAATATGTGACAAAATTAATTCTGAGAGATATGAAGATAAAGTTTGTGAAGGGTAATTTGGTGACAAATATAATCATCACCTAAGAAAATTTGATGATAATTTTTTTTAAAGGATTAAATTTGTGGCAAATATAAT